ATTACAGGCGTGAGCCACTGCGCCCAGCCTATATAGTTGCTTTTTAAATCAGTTAAGAGAATAAAGGAGAAAAAATAGGCATTTATGCTGAAATTTACAATTGCCTTTACTGGTACTTTTTGGTTTTTTGGGTGTATTCGAATTATTACCTGGGAGTCACTTGCTTTTAGCCTGAAGAAGTTCCTTTGGTATCTCTTGTAAGGCAAGTCTCTGCAAGTAACAAATTCTCTTAGTTTTTGTCTGTCTGGGGAAGTGTTTTGTTTTCGTTTTTGAAAGACAGCTTTGCTGGATGTGGATTCTTGGTCGACAGTTTTCTCTGAGCACTTTGAATACATCATTCCACTGTATCTGGCCTCTGTTGTTTCTGCTGAGAAGTCAGTTGTTAATCTTATTGGGGTTCCCTAGTGAGCAATAAGTCATCTCTGTTTCCTGTTTTTAGGGCTTTCCCCCTTGTCTTTGACTTTCAGCATTTTTACTATGATGCACCAGTCTACGGATCCTTTCCATTTATCTTACTTGAAGTTGTTGAGCTTCTGGATGTGTAGATTTTTGTTTTTCAATGAATTTGGGTAGTTTTGAGCTATTGTTTCTTCCACCGTTTTTTCTGATCCCTTTTGTCTTTCCTCTCCTCTCGGTACTCCCATTTCACACGTGTTGGTGTGCTTAATGGCGTCCCGTATTTCTCTGAGAGCTCTGTTCATTTTTCTTCATTGTTTTTTCTCTGTTTTAGCAGGGAATGCTTTTTTGTGAGTTTTTTGCCCTGGGGGTTTCTGACCACATGAATAACATAGATTTGACCCCAATCTTAAGGGAGGCACAGACTCGTGGTTGTGAAATTTCTGAGGACTCTTATTCCAGACATCCCCACCCCATTTGGAGACTGGAACGAGCTTCCTTCTCATGTCCCTTTGCCTTTCACTGAGCATGTGTCCTTTTGAGGCCCCTGTCATCCTCACACACTCCCCCAGGCATCTGTCATGCCTGCCGACCTGCTGAGGGCTATGGCTGTGCCGTTCCTCTTACTCTCGTCCTAGGTCAGATCTTACTCTCGTCCTAGGTCAGATCTGTGCAGAGTCTCCTGTGTGTGGTTCAGATACAATGGACTTTCTTCCCAGGCAGAGCTGGCAGCTTCCTTGGAGACTTACTTGAGATGCATTTTGATTTTAAAACAGTTAATATTCACAGCAGCTGCATCTTAGAATTGAGGAGTCTCGTAAGTAAACTATTTAGGCAACTTCAAAGCAAACACTTCTTCAGGACGTTTGCCCGGGAGTCTGGCATTCTCTTCCATCCTGCCCCTCTGGGGCTCTGTGGCCTACACCTGCCCTGGCCAGGTGTTCTTTGTTGTAACAATGTGTTGTAGTGACCACTCTGGGACCACTGCTTTCTGTGTCGTGGGGCAGATTTACATCGTTCCAGCAGTGGGCAGACTCTCGGACACGATCTGGCCAACTCCTCAGTTTCCCTGTTTGCCCTCCAGGCCCAAGCAGGGAGGGTCTGGGCTCTCTTTCCTGGTTACACATACATCTGTACACGTGTGTGCTCGTTACAGGTCAAACATGTGTCGACATCAAAGACAATGTGGTGGATGAAGGATTCTACTTCACCCCCAAGGGGGACGACCCGTGCCTGAGCTGCACCTGCCATGGAGGAGAGCCTGAGATGTGTGTGGCCGCCCTCTGTGAGCGGCCCCAGGGCTGCCAGCAGTACCGCAAGGACCCCAAAGAGTGCTGCAAGTTCATGTGTCTGGACCCAGGTGAGACTCTTGCTGGTGGGTGACAGGCAGGCTCCCCATTCAGGACTGGATGCTAGACGTCCCTTCGCTTCATTGGTGGTGGGGACTCACGACTCATGGCGTGTGGTGCAGCAGCAATGGCGTCATTTGCTCACAGCTGTCTCAGAGCCTTTGATGCTGCTACTCTAATGGGTGTGTCTCGTGTGACCTCTCAAGGTGCCTCATTCCCATTCTCGGGTAACAGCGTTCACAAGTGACCGTGAACTTGAGTGCAGCTGGCTGTCCACAAATCAGCTAGAACTGACAGTTTCAAGCTGTTCTTGCCTCTCTTTAAGACTCAGACCTAGAATTTATGTTCATGTTTGAGCTCTTCCTGTTTTTTTTTTTGTTTTTTTTTTTTTCTGAGACAGAGTCTCACTCTGTTGCCTGGGCTAGAGTGCCATGGTGTCAGCCTGGCTCACAGCAACCTCAAACTCCTGGGTTCAAGCGATCCTCCTGCCTCAGCCTCCCGAGTAGCTGGGACTACAGGCATGCGCCACCATGCCCGGCTAATTTTTTCTATATATATTTTTAGTTGTCCAGATGATTTCTTTCTATTTTTAGTAGAGACAGGGTCTTGCTCTTGCTCAGGCTGGTCTCGAACTCCTGACCTTGAGCGATCCTCCTGCCTCAGCCTCCCAGAGTGCTAGGATTACAGGCGTGAGCCACCATGCCCAGCCTCTTCCTGTTTTTTAGTATGATAATATGGAGGGTAGTGATAATTGGCATTGCTTATAGTCATCAATTTTTACTGTTAGATTCTTCAAGAAAAAGATTAAATATTACCCTCAGTTTCAAGGTAAGATGCCTCAGTAGGTGGTGCTTTAAGATGGACACTACAAGGAATCTGGACTTGGAATAACCCTCTCCCTTCCACGTGCAATAAAAGTGGAGCCGGTGGGATCCTGCTATCTGGGACTGTTAGCATCCCATGGAACTCCATGTGGCATGCTTTGTCCTGCACACCAGCACAGCTGCCAGCTCTGGTGAACTCAGACGTCAAGAGAAATGTAAATCAGAAGTGTGAATTTGTTTCTTTCTTGCGTGCCACAGTGTGAGAATAGTGTGGCAAGGACTTGTGGAAGCCCCTGGGCTCTTGGACCCTGCAGCCTGGGCAGGGTGTGGTGGCTATCTTATTGCCCAGGGGCCCTGTGGAAGAGAGACTGCAGCTGGGGTGTGAGGGATACAACGAGACCTGTCCCTTCAGGGAGTGTTGTCCACGTCCCTCCACACCAGATAGGCTGCTGGGTAGGAGAACAGAGTTGTCCTGCTGAGGCTGTGTCTGAGGCTGGGCAGAAGGAGGCACTTAGGAACAGGTACCATCACATGTGTGCAGTCAACTGTGGTGAGCAGAGAGGCCACGTTTGCAGCCTAGCCCGCCAGAGGACATAGAGCTAGAGGTGGGAGAGGGCGGCCTCAGGCAGACAGCGTTCTGCTTGTACAGGGTGTGTATGTGGGGCTGCGAGAAGCACTGATGGGCTGCTCACCAAATTTCCCGTGCCCCAGCCACGTTACCCCAAACCTCCAGCTTATTTTCCGTCTGTGGGAGTCAAACTCTGTTCACAAGCCATGTCACCTGGATTCCTGGTTCCATTTCTCAGGAGTCTACCAGTGCTGCCTTGCCACTCTGTCCAAGCTTTGTAAGAATGACCAGACGTATACAGGGATGACCTGTCTGTGGACACGTGTGGCCAAGGGAGCCTGCCCAGCTCTGAGGACTGCTCAGCAGAGCGGGGCCTTCGGTGTGTCTGGGCAGGCCCAGCGCTGCTGCAGTCCACTCTCCTGCGCAGCCACAGTAGCTTAGCCAGGCTCGCTGTCTCCACACCGTGGCCATACTCCTACAGACTCCTGACTCTCTCCCAGAGTCTTTGTCCTGGGAAGTGCCCATATCGCATCAAGAACGGAGATACTGTCATTGAGACTTTGGGAACAGGATCTCAGGTGTTAAACTTCAGAGTATCCCTTCCAACAGGGCAAGAGTATCTGCTCTTCCATGCTCTTCATCGTTATACTCGAGGTCACAGCCAGTGGCAGAAGGCAAGAAGAAATGAAAAGGCATCCAGACCAGAGGGGAAGAAATGAAGCCATCTCTCTTTGCAAATGACACGATTGCACAGAATATCCCAGAATATCTACAGGAAAGTTAGTAGAATTAATAAATGTGATTAGCAAGGTCTCCAGATGTAAGATCAATGCACAAAAATCCACTGTATTCACATAATCTACCTGTAATAGTTAGAAATTGAAATTTTAAGAAAGTACCATTTATAATAGCACCAAAAACAAAACATGAAATACTTAGTTATAAATCTCATAAAATATGTGTACATTTTTTCTGTTTGTTACAAACTAAAAAACTGGTGAAAAAAGTCAAAGGCCTAAATAAAAGGAAAGATATACCATGTTCATCGATTAGGCGGCTCAGTATCATTAGGAGGTTAATTCTTCCCAAATTGCAGATTCAGTGCAATCTCAACCAAAATTCCAGCAGACTTTTTTGTAGGCACTGACAAGCTGAGTATAAAATTACATGGAAAGGCAAAGGAGTTAGAATAGCCAAAACCGTTTTTATAAAGAAAGAAGTTGGAAGATTGATGCTACCCAACTCATGACTTACTGTACAGCCATAGTTAACCAGAACAGTTTGGTGTTGATGGAAGAATAGACGCATAGATCGCTGGAACAGAATAGTCCAGAAACAGTCCTACACCATATGGTCAAATGATCTTTGACGAAGGTGCAAAGGCAGTTCACTAGGAAAAGGACAGTCTTTCAACAAATGGTGCTGGGACAGTTCAACATCTGTATGCAAAGAATAAGAACCTTACACCTCCTACTGTATTTAAAATGTACTCTAAATGCCATAGACCTGAGTGTAGAACCTTAAACTGTAAAACTTCTAGAAGAAAACATAGGAGAGAAATCTTTGTGACCATAGGATAGGCAACATTTTTAGCATGATCCTTAAAATAAAAAATTGATAAATTAGACTTCATCAAAATTGGAAACATCTTCTCTTCGGAAGACCCTGTTAAGGAAATGAAAAGACAAGCCGCTGACGGAAGCAAAAAGCAAAAAGAATATCTGCAAAACACAAATCAGGCAAAGGTCTTGCGAACCCAAGGACATGACCTCTTTTGCTCCACCTGCCATCTCTGACAAAGACTTTGAAACTGTTGCTGTGTAACCAAGCTCAGTGAGACTGTGAGCTCCTTGTCACTGGAGCTCTTCATGCACAGGCCAGGCAGCTACCTGGACGGGGAGTGGTCCAGGCATCAGGTCAAGGGTCAGGCCAGGTGGACTTCAGGACACCTTCAGTTCCAGCAGTGTCTACCGCAGCAGGATGTGTCCCCTTTCTGGGAACCTAGCAGTAGCTAGAAGACAGAAGACAACCCCATCTGCACTGTCCAGAGCCCCATGGAGGGCCCAGCCATGTTGTGAGCCCTCTGGGCCCCTGGCTCCTGGGACAGGCTCTCTTCTTTGTGCTTGACTCCAAGTGGCTTGGTCCTGAGAGATGCTTCTATTCTCTGTCATGGAGGAATGGCTGGGAACCTTGACCATGTCCTTGGGTTTATTTCAGAATTGATTAAGGGTTAGTCATTGCAAAGGGGCTACTTCCTCTGGTATCTCTGAGCTGGCCTCCAATTAACAGACACCTGGCCAGACCCCGGGGTGATGGACTTTGTCCCACCGACAGGGATGAAGTGTTCCCTGAGGCTGGAGGAGACATTAAGAAAGCAGCTGATTGGTGAGAGGATGTATCCTTCTCACACGTTTACTGCCCAAGTGTCATCAGCAGCAAACAGAGCTTTTGGAGATGCTTTCTGGCCCCGTGGGAGGAGGGCGGGCGTGAGCTCTGCCGTCTAGGGGGATGGAGTGGCCCGAGCCAGCAGGAGTGGTGTGAGAGCTCTGGAAGTCTGGCCACTGACACGTGGGCTGCGAAGTGTCTTATTGGGGTCCTGCCTGTGGAGGATGTGGAGGTGGGAGTGGCCAGCCCTAGCTCTTCCTGAAGCTCAGCAGGGTCCCTGCCCATGTGGGGTCCTCTTGCTTCTAGAAGCTGACAGGTCACCCATCTCCTGAAGCCTCCTGGCCTCCACCCTGGGTCTATGGAGACAAACGCTTCTGGGACCACTTCCTGGTTCCATCGCACTGTGACTTTGTGCGAATTGCCAGTCCATTGAGGTCAAGAGCACGTGGAAATGCCAGCTGCATCACCAGTGCTCGGCCAGTACAGCACTGTCCCTCCACGCTGGCACCACGTGCACAGTCTCCGTCCCACCGCTGCAGCTCACAGGGAGCACCTGACAAGCCTCAGTGTGCGCCGCGCTGGGTCAGGGCGGGGGATTGTCTCCACCTCAGCACTGATGACATCTTGGACCCAATACCGTGTGTGGCGGCTGTCGTGTGCACAGTAGGATGTCGAGCCACACCCCTGGCCTCCGCCTGCTAAATGCCAGTAGCACCCGCCCTCCCAGTGGTGACCACTAAAGAGTTGGAAAGACGGGGCGTCCCAGGAGACCTGAGGAAGGTGCCACATCTGGGACCTCTTGGTTTTTGGTCTCCAGCCCAGCTGGACCCCAGCCTCGTGGCGCCTCCCTGCACTCACCCAGCAAGGCGGGGGCGCCAGGTCTGCCCAGCGTGCGTCGTTTGCCTGGTATGGCTGGGCGGGGGCCTGGGGGGCCCAGCGTCGCGTGCGTGTGTGGCGGAGGCTGTCCTGGGATGTCTGAGCGCTGGTCACCGTGTGTGCTGGGGCTGGGTGCGATTGGGGGTGTTTTCTCTGGGACAGCTTGTTGAGGGTTGAGGTGACAGTGTCACTCCTGGCTGAGGTGGATGCTCATCTGTGAAACGATACCTGAGTTGACCGGCCTTTGTAAGCCTGTCCCCAGCGGGTGTTGGACACTGCGGCTGCTCCCAGCCCCTGCGCAGCCACCAACAGGGCCTCGCTGTCCCCCTCTTAGTCCATCAGTGAGTCGTGGCACATCCAGGTCCCACATATACCCTGTGCTGTCCCTTCTCCCCATCTGTCACTGCCCAGTCCACTTCATTCTCTGATGCCACATGCGCCTCCTCACTGGCTTCCTGACACGCCACGCTCCTTCCCTGTGGCCTGTCCTCCCCACAGCAGCTGCCCCGGGCTAAGCTCTGCAGGGAGGATGTCAGCCACGCTCTACCCCTGCCAGCAGCTCCCATCGTGAGACCCCTGCCCACCCGGCCGGCTCAGCGACGGAGCGGCTGCCTGGCCTCCCCTGGCTCCTCCTTGCTGGGCACCCGAGCACCGTCTCTGAGTGGCTGCAGGCCTCAGGCAGAAGGCAGGCCCCAAAGGCCCAGCCATCGAGTGGGCACCACTGCCCCTCACCTTGTGCACAGCACAGCACCTGGAGCAGGGTGTGTGGCTTCTGCAGGAGGGTCGCTCCCCAGCCGCACCTGGGCACACAGCTACTTGCACACGGCCTAGAAGTGCCAGTCCTAGGACAGAAGACACCACTTCCTTGCTCAGGCATTGGCGGGTCTGAGGCCTGGAGCTCTTCAGAGGGCAGAGCACAGGCCACAGGGGCTGTCGCCTAGAGACCTGTGATTCACTTTTCTGCTTTTGGTGTTTTCACAACATTTTTGATTTTGGGTGGCTTTGTTTCACCATCTATCCTAAGATTGTCAGGTGTAGGAAGTCGGGAACAAATGCTCCTCATCCCCACGGTGGGCCTGGGCAGGAGGGCCATGGCCCCCTTCCCAGAGCAGCAGGTTCCTTCCTCCCCCCGACAGATGGCAACAGCCTGTTCGACTCCATGGCCAGCGGCATGCGTCTGGTGGTCAGCTGCATCTCCTCCTTCCTCATCTTGTCGCTGCTGCTCTTCATGGTCCACCGGCTGCGCCAGAGGCGCCGGGAGCGCATCGAGTCCCTGATTGGAGCCAACTGTGAGTGCCCTCCACGGGCCACAGCACCAGCCCCGGCCCCAGCCAAGGTCTAGGTCTCCCCTGCCCTAAGCCATGGTCCCCTCAAGGTAGAGCTGCCCTGGCAGGAGGGGTGGGCCCTCTCCCCGCAGCAGGAGGCGCCGGGGCTTCCCTTTCCACCCCACCCCCTCTGTGCCTGGCAGCAGGAAGGGCAGCACGGTGCATTTAGACGGGACATCACCTTCTGCAGTGGCGTGGGCCCTGGGCGTGGGCCACCTGCTGGGGAGGAGCAGTGACACTGGTGGCCACTAGGAGGCTTGGAGCAAGGGGCCCACCCTACTCAACCTGACTTCCTCAGGAGTGCACCAAGCCCAGCCAAAGACCCCTCCGCAGTGACCCGCGCCCCAGCCATTCACCCTTGTCTCCATGAGCTCCTCTGCCCAGCACAGGGCGGGACGGGAGCAGTGGAGACGGGCGGGGGGAGCTCGCCGGCTGCTGTAGGGCCCCCAGCGCCTCCCGGGTTTGGAGGCCACGTGTCGCTGGGGTTCTGGTTCCTCGCCCGTGGGCCAGGAACGTTCTTGCCGAGAAGCTCCTATTCTCACCGAGCCGTAGCGGGGGCAGAGCTCAGGCCTCTGGCAGCTGGAGGGGTGTGGACAGTCCCGAGGCCTGGCCCAGCGGTGGCAGCGTCAGGACAGAGGGACAGGTTGCATGTGGGTGAGGGTGGAAGGTTCCGGCCGTGTCTTCCGGCCATGTCGGGGGTCTTTTGTGGGCTGACAGGTGGGCCGCTGGGCACAGCATGTGGCCCTCAGGGACAGAGGCCTAGCCTCAGAATGGGGGCTCAGGAGCCAGGTGGCCACCGCCCAGTGACACAGCACTGTTTTGTCCCCCGCTTTGGCGGCCCAGTGCACCACTTCAACCTCGGCCGCAGGATCCCCGGCTTTGATTACGGCCCAGACGGGTTCGGCACAGGCCTCACCCCGCTGCATCTTTCTGACGACGGAGAAGGCGGGACCTTCCACTTCCACGACCCTCCGCCTCCCTACACAGCTTACAAGTACCCAGACATCGACCAGCCCGACGACCCCCCGCCGCCCTACGAGGCCTCCATCGACCCGGATGGCATGTTCTATGACCCCGCAGGTGCCTGCCCCCGGGAGGGAACACCTTGTTGTCAAGCAGTCTGGCCTGTGGGGCCACCGCCCAGTGGCCCTCCCAGCTCCAGGGGCCTGGGGACCCCACTTCTTTCTGGCCTTCTCTTTGGTTTTCCCTGTAAGGCTTTCCCTGAGTTGGCTGTGCGGAGGGCCTGGGGCCCCCTTTCCTCCTCTCCCTCCGCGAGCACCTGCGAGCCGGCAGCCCTTGGGCCAGTCTGAGCCGGCAGCCCTTGGGCCAGTCTGAGGTGAGCTGCGGAGCCGGGCCCTGGTGGTCACCAGTACAGGCTTGGCCCAGACCCAGGACCGATCACTTGGGTGTGTAGACACATGTGCTACAGAGACACCATGGTGACAGTCCCCCGCCATGTCTGGAGGCAGCTCTGTGAGGTGGGAAGAAAGCGCCGGTTCCGTGTCACCCTTCTGGCACCAGAATCAGTCCCCACAGGGCTGCGTAGCGAAGGAGAGTCGCGTGCCCCTCCCTCCATCGCCTGGCCTGTCCCTGAGCAAGGACATGGGCGTCCCATCCCGTCTCCCTGTGCGCCGCGCCCTCTGGCGCAGCCATGGTGCAGTTGAGGCAGTGTCCCCGAGGCGCTGGCTCCTCGCTTGTCCCCTGCCTCAGCAGGACGGACATCGGGAGGCAGGGCTGCGCGCTGAACAGTCTTAGTCCCGTTTGTCCGTCTGGTCAGCGACGCAGCTCCCGTGTGGTCTGGGTGTGCAGCAAAGACGTGGATGTGACCCCTGCCCTGTGACACGGATGTCACAGTCTTCCCTTAGGGGCCAGAGCAGGACAAGCTCCCTGCAAGGGCTGCTGCTGGGTGGCAGCCGGGCCCAGACGCCGCCATGGGCTGGGCAATGAGGCAGGGCTGGGGCCTGTGGGCGGCAGGCAGGGCAGGGCGGTGTCGCTGAGGCCGCTGCCATCTGTTCTCGGAGACGCCCGTGGTCACGAGGAGCAGGCCGGACGGAGCCTCCCTCGGACCAGAGCTTCCTGCAGACACCGTGCAGTTCGCGGGGCTCCTGCTCTGACCCTGCTGCCGCGCCCGGGCTGCGCGTTCCAGCCGCAGCACTGAGTGCTCCCCGCCCACTTTGACCCAATAACTCCCCGACATCAAATGCGCCGCCTTCCCGCCCAGGTCAACCCCGCTGAGGCTGCCGGGTTTCCCTCTGGCACCCTTAGTTCCGGGGGCTCTGTCAGTGCACCGCCCCGCCTCACACGTGTCTGCGGTGCGGGCTGCGCCCTGCACCTCGCCCACACCAGGTGCCCGGCCACGGGGAGCAGTGTGCACGACAGAGCCTGTGTTGGGGGCTCCCTTCAGAATCTGAGGCCCAGAGAGCCACCTTGGGGTGTTCAAGCAGGAGGGGCTTCCTCCAGTTCTGCCCTGCCCCCAGTACCAGGCCTGCACCTGCCTCTGACACCCCTGTCTCCCCCTGCAGACGACGATGCTTTCGAGCCCCCGGAGACCAGCCTGCCAACCCCAGGGGATGGTGGCAGTGAAGCTTCGTTGTCCCGGTGCCTGGAACAGCCTCTGCGCACTTCGGGGGCCTCTCTGGCAGACCTGGAAGACTCCGCCGACAGCAGCAGTGCCCTGCTCGTGCCCCCCGACCCTGCCCAGAGTGGGAGTGCCCCGGCTGCAGAGGCACTGCCAGGGGCCGGCCGCCACAGCCGCAGCTCCCTCAACACCATGGTGTAGACGGCCCGGCCCGTGTCCAGCGGGCTGTGAGCACCCGTCTGCTGTCAAAACACCAGTCCCTGTGGGAAACTTGAAGGACCCAGCCTCAGCCTGGACCCCCGCACTGCAGCACACCCGCCGACCGCAGGCCAGGGAGGAGCGCTGCACCGAGTCCCTGAGGGCTCCAGAGACATGCAGAGCTGTGGGCCACCTTCTCCTTTTCAGGTGGCGGAAGAGTGATGGAGTTTGCTCAGACCACGTGCTTCAGAGGCAGGGAAGAAGGCACTGTGGGCCGTGGCCGGACGGCACTCGGCGGGCTCGCTCGTGCAGTGCGCATCCAGAGAAGTCTGCCAGCCGCACCGAGCCCTGGGGCGAGCTGGGCAGGGGCTGCCAGGGCTGCCCCCCTGGCCCCATCAGGATGGCACTTTTGACTGTCTGTGTGGTGTGGCAGGGATCTGCTTCAGGGGAGACGGCCCCGCGGGCCCAGCTGTGAGCATCGAGGTGACCCTGCCCTGGGCCAGGGCTGGCCTGGGCCTGGCTCCTGAGAAGGGAGCTTGGAAGGAGATTGACCTCTCGGCTCTATCTTCACAGCTGGGCCCCACGAAGCTCAGCTCTGTGGCAGGAAGCCCCCCACTGGTGTCCCCCGCAGTGCTGTGTGCGGCTCCCCTGGAGTCAGGCTGAGGCCCTGGATGCCGGGGGTGCTGGGGACTGAGCCAGCTCCTGTCCACACTCTGGCGCTCTGGGCCCCGCCCCTGTTGAATGGTCCTTGGGCTTGGCCTGCTCCTCCCCGCCTCATCTGTGCCATAAAGGGTTGTTTCTGGGGGGCAGGTGGCTGAACCGACATCCCGGGCTGTGTCCATCTCCCGAAAGTCCACTCCCTGCGCCACCGCCACCGCCGAGCCCAGTGGCCACATGCGCCCCCGCCCCCCTCAGCAGCGCTGGGTGCTTGGTTCCCTGCCTGGGGGCTTTTTGCCCGAGGGACCCTGTTGCCTGCTCCTGGACCGCGTCTTGTGTCCTGACACGGGGACTTTAGCATTTCTGAGGTTTGGAGATTAAGCGGGTTCTGTGCGATTTTTAGCACATGCATATCTTTTCTACGTTGAATGTCTGGATCCGTGTTTGTGTGCACGAGTGTGTGCGTGCGTGCGTGTGTGCGCGTGTGTTTGCAGGCGATGGGGTGCGCGGGAACTTGGCTCTCCTGGGCCGCTGCGTCTGCCCTGCCCTCTCCCTGCTCCGTGTCTCGCTCGAGGTCTTTCCCCACCACGAGGACAGCTGTGCAGAGGACCGGCGGGAGCATGCGCTGCTGTGCAGTGACGGACTCTGCGCAGTCCAGGCACGTTCTCAGGCCCGTTTTGTCCATCCCGTGAGGACTGAGACTCCACAGCTGCCCACAGACTTGACCTTGTGCCAGAGCTATGAGTTTCGTCACTGAACTGCCTGTCCTGGAGGCCGCGTGCGGTGAGGCCCGCTCCCCTGGCTGAAGGGCTGCTACTTCC